TTACGTGATTGATAGCGTTAATTACTTCACAAGTTCACACTATGTCACTGTTGTATATTTTACATAATTATCTTAGGTATGTAGTTCAATCAGAAATATACATAATAATAGTAGATAGTTAGGTGAGAGTTAATCTAAATAATTTATTTTGCAAAACAACTTTTTTACAAAATCATGCATGAAAAGTTATTATTATTATCTAGCCATTATATCAAAGGCTTTGAAATAAAAATAGACAAAATATTTGTTACAATTTTAGCACCTATGTGTGCTTCTGTTAAAATTAACTCATGTTGTGTAGGTTCTTAAGACCAACAATTAGGAAGTATTTCATTTTTATAAATTCTTAGATATCCTATATACATTCATCAAATTACGTGGATACATACTTGCTAAAGCCAATAATGATTTTATTTATACCGTATTTAAAGCTACAAATGACTTAACTATAGGTACTTAAAACATACAACATCTAAAAATAAATCTACAGTGTAAACTCTACACTCAAATGTAAGTATAGCTGCATTTCAAACAGACAAAATTGGTATCTAAGAAAGTATTCCGTACACGTGGGCCTTCGAAGAACAGAGGAGTGATGATGTTATGTTATTTACATAGGAAGCGTACCACTTGACTCAATTCAAGCCAGTTGTTAAGGACCATCCGGATTGTTAACAAGGCTTATGTTCTGTCAAGTCTTGACCTCACTACAGCTTGTTTTGTTCACCCCCATTTAATTTTAAGTATAAATTAGAACAATAGACTGTGTCAGAGTAGTATTGTTTGGATTTTAGTAACAAAACATTTAGACGTGATATTTCAAGCACTACAAGTATTTTTAATATGACCTTGTCATGGCTGATTTTACAACTATGCGTCTGAGTTCTAGACCACAAAATGTTTTCTAGAGTTCATTACATATTAATAAGAAATTTATTATTATTCAAGTAACTGTAAAACAAATTAGATACTTATTTAATGCCTAGTAACTTCTTAAAAGCTTTCCTAAATTCAATATTGAAAATGGTATAGATTAAGGGATTTACTGTAGAATTAGCGTACCCTAACCATGTGATAACATTTATAAGTCTCATGCTGGGACAACAAGACGAGCAAAATGGTAGTATGAGATACATAAGGAAAAATGGTAGCCAACAGATAACGAACACACCCATTATGATGCCCAGAGTTCTGGCAGCGCGCCTTTCCTTAGACAGCGAGATCTTTTGCTTCTGCTCAATGAACTGGTTTACTACGTCCCCGCTTTTATTAACACTCGCCAGCAACGGTTTCCCTTGCTTTTTATTTTTGTGGCTCATTTTCTTTAGTGAACCAACGACCTTAGTCTTGTAACTACTGCAGCTACCCGGCGACACATTCGCTTGTATCTGATTCATATTTGCTTCAATCGTCTGTCGAGATACTGGATCATTCAACAAAAGGAATGGCACAAAGAAGTTTTTCTTTATGTCTGTGAAAGCTTTCCTCTGACAACGTTTTATACTTCCACCACTATCCGATTCGTTCTCTGAATCTTCTCTATTTTCTTGACTCTCTTCCCGACTCTGTATTACCAACACTGGATTTTTATTCTGAATACGTGTAACAAGCACTCGTTTTCTTAATCTTTGTCGTGCAGCTACGTAGATTTTTATATATACTATTGTCATTATAACGAGTGGTATGAAAAATGAGCCGAGTGAGGAATACACAACATATCCAGGTTCTGAGGTAAGCTGACAGGGAGTATCCGCTGTGAACTCATCCGGCCAATCATTCCAACCCAGAATTGGTGGTGAACTTATAATCAAAGATAAAATCCACACTCCAATAATTTGATATACGACCCTTTTCAAAGTTCTTTTATTAGCGTAGTTAATAGGGTCTGTAATTGCCCAATACCTGTCGAGTGCTATAGCACACAAGTTCAGGATGGATGAAGTGCAAGACATAATATCACACGTGAGCCACATCTTGCATAGCTGTTTACCCCACAACCAGCGACCCAAAGTCATGTAGGCCACGTTTAAAGGCATCACCAACACGGCAACTGCCAAATCAGCAGCTGCTAAAGACACAATGAAAAAGTTTTGCACTATCCTCAGAGGTTTATACGTGAAAACTCCAAGTATAACCAGAATATTGCCAAAAATAGTCCCAGTGATGACAATGAACAGCATTACAATAGTAGTTAACGCTTCCCATTCTGGAACTGCTATTTCAATTCCAACACTTGAATTGTAGAGAAAATTGATTGAATAACAAACTGTGTCTTCAAACGAAGTATTGTGTAATGAAACATTATTGTAATCTAAACTTATATTGTAGACGTAATAATAGTCCACATTAATCAAATCGTCATTCATAGCGCTGTTATAACTCACGAAAATATTGTTTAGCAAAAGTACCTATCGCTAATTAATTTCCCTTTCACGTCACTTGGTAACCAGAACATTGTGGACCCACATTTTTCATGAATTACACAAAAGTTAATTGTTCCTTTTTGTCCGTAATTAATTGGGTAATACAATTTTCAAATTTAATTTATCACTTTTTGTTGTGTTAGGCTGGCAATATTTTCCGGAATACAAATATTCTTTGCGAGCAAACGGCTCGTGGCAGACTGGCGGCTCAGGAAACGTTTTAAAGACGACCCACATAGCCGAGATACTTGTAAATAAACTATATGCATAGTTAACAGTGTATAACGTTTGTTCCAACAACAAAGATACACATTCTTTGTGTGTAGCGATGTCACCGTCGCGGACGCCTGGGGCAGTGTGAGAGCTTTCCGTCTATTTTTGCACAACCACCTTAGTACTTACTACCTATGAATGTCTTACACTTGGAAGCTGTTTTTTGTACCTAACTCCTTTCACAAAATATTCCTAAAGTTACACCCTTAAGTTCAAAATTTGGTGTGGTATCTCATTTTCACATAAGTAGGTCTACCTACCTACTCTACAACACTGGATAATTGGATCTCAATTACAAGTTTATAGGGTCATTAATTGATTTACCTTCCTAATAGGAACAACGCGCACATTCTCGAGGAGACAAATCACTCGTGACAAGGTTTTCAAGTAATTACCTAGAGGTATGTAGTGCTATACCTACCTATCTACTTTAACGTCGCGAATTACATGGGAGGTACCCGACAATCGACAATCTCCAAATAAATTATTTAATAAAATAAGTACCTAGGTATAATAAGTAGGGTACATATTTAAAAAAACACTCAGCTAATACTATAATTGTCTCCTGTGTCGTTGGTGCGTTTACAAACATTACCTATACCTACAGTCTGTCGCGGAGAACCTAACACATTCTTTGTGTGCACGGCACGTAGGTGCAGGAGAAGGAACGGGGTGGTTTTTAGTCAGTAAGAGTCTGACACGCCCTCCCGCCTCACCTAGACTGGAGCAGACATTCAATGATTTTCAGCTCTTAATAAAAAAAAATACCTACAGTCTATTGAGTCTCTCTCGACTCTTGAGGAAGTGACTCTTACAACTCTTACTAACTAAAAAACCACCCTATTCCTTCCAACACTTGCACAAAGACAACCTACCCTCTAGCAAGGCAACAAACCTGTTACTCTTTGAGGCCCGCATGTTACGCGACGCGCCGCACGCTCAGGTCTGGTACGTACTTGTCAGCTGGTGAGCTATCTTTGCTTGCCGTCCGCAGACTTGCGCTTACGGTGGCCGGAGATCCCGACAATTCGAAGCTATACTACACTCAATGCGTCTCCTGCTACCTCTCGAAAATGATAATGAGTGCCCTTGACAACAGTCAGGTGACGTCGATCACTTTCGAGCGTCCTCGAAAACTATCGAGCGTCCTCGATCACTTTCGAGTGTCCTCGAAAACAATCGAGCGTCCTCGATCACTTTCGAGCGTCCTCGTTCACTTTCGAGCCTCCTCGAAAACAATCGAGCGTCCTCGATCACTTTCGAGTGTGCTCGAAAACAATCGAGCGTCCTCGATCACTTTCGAGTGTGCTCGAAAACAATCGAGCGTCCTCGATCACTTTCGAGTGTGCTCGAAAACAATCGAGCGTCCTCGAAAACAATCGAGCGTCCACGATTGCTTTCGAGCTTCCTCGAAAACTATCGAGCTTCCTCGAAAACAATCGAGCGACCTCGATCACTTTCGAGTGTCCTCGAAAGTTATCGAGCGTCCTCGAAAATAATCGAGCGACCTCGATCACTTTCGAGTGTCCTCGAAAACAGTCGGGTGACCTCGAAAACAATCGAGCGTCCTCGATCACTTTCGAACGTCCTCGTTCACTTTCGAGCGTCCTCGAAAACAATATGGCGTCCTCGAAAACAATCGAGCGTCCTCGATCGCTTTCGAGCGTCCTCGAAAACTATCGAGCGTCCGCGATCAATTTCGAGCGTCCTCGAAAACAGACGGGTGACGTCGATAAAACCGAGCGTCCTCGATCACTTTCGTGCGTCTTCGAAAACTATCGAGCGTCCTCGATCACTTTCGAGCGTCCTTGAAAACAGTCGGATACGACATGTTGTACAGCAGCCAGTTGCCCAGTTGCCCAGTCACTGCGCCAACTGCCGTCAACAGTTTTGATCACCTTGAGGTTCACATAATAATAGAAACTTGTATCGTTAGTAGAATAAAACCGCTATGAAAATGATGAAATAAATGCGGTCTCGAAATCGTGTAGGTAAGCGATGGTTAGTCTCTTGTTCTTATTGTACGCGTCTCTAGCCACCACCGCCATCTATCGATTGATATAAGAATAATATTTAATGAGAGCATAATCAAGAACGTTGAAAAAAGAAAACAAATATTAACTGAATATAAAATAATGTGAATTTCATTCAAATTATTTTATACAGATTTTACATGTTTTATGATTTTTTTATTTCTGATTTGTTTACACATTAAACTAAATTTTCAGCCAGGATACTGCATAAAACGGAACGTTTGATGACTGTCAAACGGTTTTAGCAACAAGTGGCGCTGGTGTGCAATACGATTTGCGTGAGAGTAGAAGAGAAGTCCGATTATTTTGATTCTCATGTGACATCATTTTGTTTGATATATTCTACATCTTTAGCACCAGCTGTCAAAATATTTTGCGGAGACTAAAAGCCTACCGTTTTGTGTATTATCGCATGTAAATCGTGGTTTCTAAACATTATAATCAGTAACAGCAATATACAAACGTGCCTATTGTTTACCTTGGTGTCTTGTACAAATGATAAGTGCAACATAATGGGGTGTTTATCGTGGATCCGAAGTATGACGTTCAATCTTGTTGATAATTTTACTTATTCTGTATTATTTCCATTCAATTAAGTAAACGACTACTTCAGTTACAATTGACTGATATTTCATAAATGAGTTTGCTATAACTACGCTTATCATGTTTTTCTACGATACATCGTGTGTATGACCTTTTCCTTGAGTTAATGTTATTAAAAGGCTGCGTACGTATTTGCATTACGACATGGTACCGATTACATAGGCAACATATTTGGCGCAGAATAACATTAACTAAGTTAATAACAGCTTGTCGACCTCCCTCGAAGATACACCTCCCCAGAGGTGTAAAACTATTTATAGCATAAACATAACTGTCTCATTCTTACAAGCTGAGATGTGTCAATCATCGTTTATCAGGCAGTCAGGTGCTATAGCAGTGTTAAAAGTAATGATCTTTGGTTACACACATTTATTACCTTGTGTTGAATAAACATCCAAGTGGTTTGTAGCTGTTGTGCCATTTTCCTTATGTTGTGTATTCCATGTTAAGTATAACATGTTGCTATGTGTGTTTCAGGGTTAAAAATGCCGTTTCCTTTTAAAGATAAGGAACTGAATAAAATTGCAGCTCTTTTCAATGTTTCTACATTTCTCCTGACATGCGCTGCCCTAGTTCAGCCCAGTTGGTTCAGGATCAAAGGATTGCACTGTACTCAGAGCTTGTCTTTAGCACAATTTTTTTCTTTTGACAATGATGATGATGATGAGGAACAGCTTACAATAAGACAGAGTGAATTTGAGCCACTACAAAATGTACATGACTATAATGGTAAGTTTGGCTTCATAAAAGTAATACAACCACTGTTTAGCAGTTGTGTAAAATCTTCGTCTCAAACAGGTACCCTTCATACCTTTCGTTTTTTCCATTACATGAAAATAATCAAAATATCTAATCATAGTTGGTGTACTCCAGGAAGTAAATAATAGACCTTGTGTTCAGTCATGCCTGAACCATTATTCAAGAAAAAATGTGATGAGTGATAGTAATAACTATGCTATGTTTCCAATAAATGTTAATTTATATAAAATATGTTGAAAGGCAAATTTTATAACATCAATATCTACTTCCAAAAATGTGAAACGAGTATAAACAGCTGACAATGGAATGTAGACACATCTAAATGGTCTAATTGATGAATAAATATTTCGGCTTAAATATGTTACTTGTTTTAAACAATGTTTTTCAAACATTTTCCAGGTCTACCTCCTTGCACCACGCCAGAGACAATAACTCTAATGAGGATCCTTATATTATTATGCTTTATGGTGCTTCTTTGTTCTTGTATTGGAACCCTGATCAACCTTACAAGCCTTAACAGCCGAGCTATAAAAATGTTAAGAAGGAATGCTATTCCGAGCATAATGTGTGTATTTTGGGTCATAGCTATTGTCGGTGTATGTTACTATACTACTGTTGTACTGGGAAATGCAAACAACAGTGACCCAAATACCATCCAAGTGGATTATGAATACGGATTTTATACTATAACTGGAGCAGGTGAGTGAAATACTTATAGTTTATTAAAAAGAAATTATTATTATTGCTTGTGTCATTAAATTTTAATAGCATAAGCAATTATAAGTAATGTAACCTATTTTTACAGGTTTCATATCATTCTTTATAATAAATTTAATAGGAAGGAAAAATAATCTTGCTTATTAAAATTTGGTTTGGTTGCATTGGTTAAATAGAGGGTTTTTTTCATATTGTTGTGACTTGTTATTGGGAATTTCTGTTTATTTCAATTTGGAAAACCTTTGAGTAGTTACAATATATACAATAATCTCAATTTAAGGAGCATTGCATAGCTACCTCATTTATAGGAAAACTTATTTTTAAGCTGTACCAAATCTTGGTTTGCCCATGGTTTTATCAAATTAGCTGACGCTAACTATAAATTCTTCCAATAATAACTTGTTTTCCTGTTAATTAATACTAACTAATTGGATAATGGGTCTTACGTAAATGATAAAGTAATAATTGCTTACATCATTTAAGTTTTTTGTTATTATAATTAAACTGTGTAATACAAATGACAGTAGTAGTATTTTGGGTTCAACAATGTTGACTAACTTTTGTCGGAATACTGAAACGCTACTCAATTTTAAGTCGTGCTTAAGTGTAGTTCTATCTCTACAAATTCTTTGTTAAATGACAGAGATGGCACGATATTTGAGCACGACTTAAAATTGAGTAACGTTTCAGTATTCGGGCATTTGTGACGCAACTAGTCACTTAAGTGTAATTAAACTAAGGACACAATGTATTTAGCTATCTAATAGACATAATTTATGGTGATTTGGGGTAATAAATATTGTTACATGTTTATGCGAATTTCACTTTTTGTATGGCCAACATGAAATATAACCCTAAAACATGTAAAAAAAGACTTGCACTGTCAAAAAGTTATATCAGATCTCACGGAAAATCTAAATTGTTAACTATACTATGCAATAACTTCACGAACTCTACACATGAGCGTAAAGTGAAAAACTTGCCATTGTTCATTCCTTTTTTGTTGTACAATAGTTATTGTATTATTGTGTATAATAAAACGACCAAGCTGCATGCTGACTAAGTCGAAGAGTTTAAAGAGTCACAAATTGCTGAAGATATTTTTTATATGGGGGAGAAACACTATATTCACAACTAAGATTATTTAAGGAGTTTAAATAACATAAGACTAGGTTTTGTAGATAGTGATGCTTAATTTAAATCTAATTTTATAATTTAAACATTACAGGTGCATTGGCCTTGTTAGCATCTGCTGCAAATCTATGGGGAGCTCCACTCTCAAGCGACGAGGATGTCCAGAGACGGAACTTAATGGAAGACTGGGATGGATATGAGGCTCACAGCGTGGGCCCTACACCTGCCGTGCCTACCCTGCCACCGTACACGCCGAGCGCAGAGTACGTGCCCACCATTCACCCCGCCTACGCGCCTCCAGTTCTCGGCTCACAACAATACTTCCCCTTCGATGACCTCTCAGTACTTCCACCTCCACCCCCATACACCCCTTGAGTCTCTAAAACTCATCCAATTTTCTTCTCAAATCTCCCAAATATTGATGTATTTTTAGTTGTAATCTACAGTATTTATTATTTTAATTATTACAGCTTAATAAGTTCAATGCTGAAGGCTAGATAATTAAGGCTTGTGAATGAGACATTTGACGCATCTTTGATGAAAGTCAGATAAGAAAGGAAGTAATCTCAAGTTTTCTGTTAAAACACAGTAAACAACTTGCGTTTCTGAAGAGATAATGAATGAATTCTTCGTATTTTGTGTTTTTATGTTACATGTGATGAATGTTTTTTGTAGGGTTGAGTTAAATTGATGCATATTAATAAGTAACTTTAATTTAATGTAATGAAACTCAAAAACGCCTAAAACATTAATGGAATTATTGGTTTGTGTATGTATATATTGTGGTTGTGAGTTAATTAATGACTACTGTTCACTTCTAACATGTGATTTGCCATTTTAGTGCCTATTCATGTCGTGTTTCTCGAAATGCTTTAAGATAAAGTAATTGAAGTTCTGTTTATTTATTTATGCCTAAATAGGTGGTTATTTTGTAGATTTAAGGATCGAGTAGCACTATTCGTAACAGATAAATACATAGCTGTCTGTTGTGAACTATAGAAGAAATTGTTCTATGACTAGATTCTTCTGTGTATATCATTTCTTACAATAATATACAGATTATGAAATGCCAAATGAAATAAATATACATATTGTTAATCCCCAATGTATACCTATTTATAATAAGATATTATAATCTTATCATTACTTTAAGATTATCTTCACAACACTATTGGCACATGCTTTATAGTTTTATAATTTTGATGAATTCAACACTAGAACACTACTGTAATTAACCTCATTTTGTCACTTATGATGTTTATTGCTCTCTTAACGCTTGTGCTATATAGAAAAACAATGTTTCTAAGTAATTTTGTTGTTACATGTGTACATGTCTTAACTAATCTACTTACCTTAATCAATATAAAATGAAAGCAATCCATCACTAAATGCCTTTAATGTTATAGAAATGGTATTAAACCATTGTACTTTAGTAAAAAAATACTGTTAAATTAGATGATATTATACTAATGAAATTAATGTGTTGCGATAATGTAACTCCAGATTAAAGCCACAACTGTTGTGTAAGGGCAGTTAGTATAATTATTGTAACCAACATATTAAAACATGAGAGATCTGTTTCAGTAAAAGAAACAATAAAATGAGCTTTTTAGAATCTAGAAGTAACAATTCGTGGTTTTGGAAAATAAGGATATGAACTAGAAAAATGTACCTAAATTAAAATCTATGTATGAGTAATAGATTAGTACTGGTAGCACATCCTGTATAATATTCATGTCATTGTTACCAAAAATATAGGCATGTTATTAGTTCTATTGTTTGTTAATGTATAGATTCCTTATAGAAGTAAGAATAGTTATTCCCGGTATATCAACCGGGAAGTTTATTTTTACATTAAAACAAGAGTAAAATTTTATTTTTGTGTAAGACCAATATGCAATACATATCTACAAAATGAAAAAATCAGGTTTTTATTTATAGAATGTTCCTTTTACTACATAATATACACATACATTTTACATACACATTATTAAAGATGTAACAAAAAAATATAATGTACATATAACACACAAGGTACATAATACTACCTAAAGTCTAATTAAGCTTTTATGAATAAAATCAAAAGAATACCACAACATGAAAGGATCATGACAATAAAAAATATTGGTACATACATGTACATGACACAAATAAAAAAAAATTTTAATGGTTTGTAGTATGTAAGACATAAAAATTATTTTACCTCCATCCATTTATCATGATGATTTTGGCACTTGTCATGGTTATTTAAAAAAAAAGAAAACATTTTTACAAAATACTGTTATGAAAACAAATGTAATGAAATAAAATACATTTTATGTTAATTAAAATGAGTAAACAAAATCTATAGAGAACAAAGCACCTTATACAATACCTGTAGCTTTGTATCAATTGCTTTATAACCAGTCAAATACAATACCATGTGTTGGATAATATTATCCATTGGTGACTGATTTATTTAATAAAAACTCAGCTTGAACAGTCCATTATTTAACTATAAGTCCTTAAGTGCACTTAGATCAAAATGAGGTTGAACAACTGGTCGATGATGTGGTTCTTTTGCAATCGGCATCTTCTGGATAAACTCATTTGTCAAACCTTCATTTCCGCTGATATTTGAAAAGTTTCGTTGTAACAAATCACTTTGAGTTGGAAGGTTCAGGTACTTGACTCTCTCTTTTTCCAGGTAACTCACTCTTTCTTTTAACGTCATGTTTTCATCCTTCAGTACTTCAGCTTGCAACACCAATTGCTCTACAAGGGAATGTAAATTTTGATTCAATATCTGTAACTCTTCTATAACTGTTTCTTTTCCTTTCTCTATCTTCTTTCCATCCACTACATCCACTTTAGCAATTGTGTCTTTCACATGGCCTTGTTCAGAACTTGGATTTTTTAATTTGTATAACAAAGAATCTGCTTCACTTATTGTTCTATATATAGCAACTTGGACTTTAGAACTATCATTACTTAATATATTATTGTAGGTGGGATCTTTGCTCAAACCTTTGATGTGATCCATGGCCTTTTTCACTCTATCGTATTGTTCTTTCTTGCTTTTGATGAGATCCTTTTGCTTCAGGTGGTAACTGTGCTGTAATGTGATGGATTCTAGCGTGACTGATGACGTCGTGGATTTCATAGCGTCCAATAATAATTCCGCAGCATTGTGATGGCACTGCATTGCTTCATCGTATCTATTGTTGACGAGATGGGCCTCAGCACGACGGTGTTGTTGATGAGCCTAATGACAAAGTTATAAAATATTTCAGTCAAGTGAAATTTAACCGAAACCATCAGTAAACATAAATTAGTAATTACCAAATTTAGTGGATGTGATTCCATTTTGATGTGGTTATTTCTACATGAAATTATAATGTATTGCAGATTATTGTTTATTATTCTACAGTGCTAATGTCAAAAAGTCTCCTTGTCCGCGACATTTGACTTTTGACTGTCACTGTCAAATGAAAAATTATTTTTTATAGTTGGCCTTCAAAGAAAAATAATGTTTGGACTCTTAGTTTTTCACTACTTATCTAGTGCCAATTTATTTACAAGAGGTTGGGAATTGAGACACTAACGAAGCTAACGAAAGAAGCAAAATAAATTCAGATTGCTATTTAAATATTTATTTCTAATATTCTATAATTCTGTATTATGAATATGAGTATACACAATATTCGGTATGTACAAGACAAATTACATAGAATTAATTTATGGCAAACTATAAAAGCTTCCTTGGTTAATATTTTATACTTTTTGCAGAAAACATGAATGGTATTGCAAAATACAGAATGATAGAATTTTCCCTATTCTTTATCTACTCTTTGGACAGAATGCTAACTATCAAATTGATTTGACTTTGCTAATTTGTTATTTTTTGTTGTTTATTTGTATAAATTTAAATGACTACAGATCAAGTAAAAACTATTGCATAATTTAAAACTCTGACATGCCAACCAACACTCGCAATTTAAAAAGATTCTGGATTACTAAAACGAATGAAATTTTAAAATGTTCCAATTTGTCGCTGTCCAAGAAGATTCTAGCATACAAAATATTTATGAGACCACTATTGATTTACAATTGGTTCGAGGGATGTAAGTGTCAATTAAAATCTTTAGAAGTACAGGCCCTAAAACGCATTTTTGTTGCATGTAGACAGAAGTGTCTGTATACACACTATACGGACTTGGATGTGACTGAACATTTAAAGTTGCAAGCTATAAAATGGAATCGAGCAACAAGGTCTCATTATAAAATTGTCAGAAAATTGTTACACGCAATATCAAAAACTGCAGCTGATCCAACTCTTTATTTCACCAGAGCTAGTGATAAGAGAATTTTCTGCCAACATCGTTTTCATAGTTGTCAAGATCTGACTACCAGCATTTATTCTGCTTCTTCAAGAAGACACGGAAGAAGGTCGCACAAAAAGAATTCGCTATAAAAATGCTAATTTTCTCAATTAAAGATGCCATGAAGTGGTAGATTGTCAATACACATATCTTTTTATTTTAGTTGTTATAAATAACTGTAAATAGGTACCTAATGTTGATTGTCTCATCCTTTTTTAACATGGTAGTGGGAGGTACCTACAAAACTTACACAAGTATGTATCTAAGTTAGGTACAAGTTAATAATGTTATGGCGGATCAGTATCATCATTTAAAAAGTAAGCAAGTACTTATTTAGATAGACTATTAAAAAAAGGCGTTGAATAGGCCTACCCGCTGAAAGATCGATAGGGATCATCCGATTAGGGACACCAAAAAACAACTTCAACTATGTTTTCATTGATTTTTTATTCTAGCTTTTCACTTAGGTATGCCATTCATCTGTGTCACTTACCTATCACAATAAATTAGTAGGACTGATCGACACACCATCATTACAATTATTTACCCCATTCTTCAACTGGAAAACAAAGTTTATTTGTTATCGTAGGTCGTTTTTCTAATATTCAGTATCAGTTAAATTGGAGTAGGTACCCAAATAGTTCAACCTAGGGAGTCATTCAGTTAGCTCCTAGAGATTTTTCACATTCTTATGTCAATTTCTTGGATTATCACGAATATCAAAGTTAAATCCCATTTTTAATGTTCATCTTGGTTCACGGGGATCGCGGTCGTTCCAAAAGCGCACTGACCGGCATGACTTCCGGCATAGTCTACTCAAAGCTATTTCTTCGCTCTTTAACAACGCATCCCAACGTAGTCTTTCATTCATCACATGTTCTACAACGTTGCTTGTTCGGTAATAATTATACACAGTCCTGATATTAAGCCTAAGTCTGTTAGGATCTCGTCGAGAAAGATTTGATTTATATATTTTGCATAGAACACTGATTTCAAACTGTAGCAGTTTTCCACAATTACAATTGTCTAAGTTCCAAACTTCGCAACCGTATGTGAGAATAGGTCTAACGAAGACCTTGTATAACTGAAACTTAGCTCTGTATCGTAGTCGAGGGTTGTATAATATCTTCCAGAATCGGTTGCACCACAACTTTGCACATCTCAGTCGTTCTGTTATTTCAAGGGCCATCTGGTCTCTTGTTAACTGAGGTATCCCTAATCTGTTCTGCTTGTCAAAATATTGCATCGCAGATAAAACACAAAGCGCCGTTTACCTCGTCACATTCATGGTTTTGTCTAAACGAAAGTTGTTTTATTAGCACTTGTAGTAGATATTTTGTAATTTGGCCAAAAATGACATGTTATCAAAGTGCTTAATCTGACATAACCGCATAATAAGGTCTTAAGTAAAAAGGTAGGGGTATAGACACCTACCTACTTTAAACTTAAACTTCACGTAAATTTTTGCAAAAGCCAAAACCAAGGACGTTATTCAACGTCCTTGACCAAAACCTTAATTGTTAACAATAGGTGACTAATCGATTGTTATCAATGATGCGAATGTACCTATATAAAGGTACTGGAAACCCAATGTTTTTTATTCTAACATCTAAGAAAGATGTAGGCGGCTACCTAGCCTAGCCGGCTAGATGCAATCACTCTAGGAAACTCATTTTACAGACATACCTTCTGCATACTATTATTGAATACTGAGGTAATAACATCCCCACTTGTTTCAATGTTATCGCAACCATTGTTACCGTTTTGTTTAAAAACAGCCAGTTGTCAGTTTAGCAACATAAGATAGTGACTACTATACTTATAACGGTTAAAATTCAGTTACCGTTAAGACCTCGAGGATGATTAAACAATGTTTGTGGATTGTATTTTTGTGGAGGGTGGCGTACTCCAGTCCTCAGTGTTCTGTGACTGAAGTAAAGAGTCTGCTAGAGGGTTGTGAGCGGCTTACAGGGTTGAATATAACCGCCGTAGGCGGCACCATAGTTAATGATCATAACTGTGATGTCCTTCTTCCGAAACAAGTGTTCTTTGAGGAGCCGCTGTTCCAGTACCAGTTGGCTGATTCGGTAATTTGACGATCGACCTTATTTTAAGTACCTAGTGAGAAAGATTTAATATTTTTTATAATATACGTAGCTACAAAATACATTTACAAAACTCGCTTAGTAAATTACCGTTTACATCTATAAAAAAAAAATATCGTTAATATCAAAGTTTTATGTTTCAGAAAAAGTTCTACACTTTGATCATGGTTGACCCAGATGCTCCACCCCAGATAGATGGCGAGTTTTATCTTCATATGGTAAAATCTAACATACCGGTAAGTAAATTGTACTTACTTTAATATTAAAACGTTAATTAAAAAGTGACTACTTACCTACTAATCAAACTTGAATGTACCTATTCAATTTTCAGGGCCTGGCATTGAAAGCTAAAGAGAGTAGCAAAACAGTTGGTATAGATTACAGAGGTAAGTGTTCTTGCCTTTCTGTTATCTACCTCACTTTAAACTTACATTCAAACATAATTATTTAATAAATAAAAAGTACTGTATGAAATTTTAATTTTTTAGGGTACAAGTCGCCAGCGCCACCTCGCGGTTCAGGCCCGCACCGCTACGTCATCCTACTATATGAACAGGCTGACGGCAACAGTTTCCTACCCTCAGTACCTTCGTCACGCCACAGATTCTCACTCGCCAAGTGGCTCGTCGGTAAAAATATCTGTGGACCAGTTGCTGGAATGGAATTCAAGACTGAATACTAGATGGCGTTAGCTGTCTCGAATGAGTTTAATTTCAACTGGACTGACAAGAAATATTATGTTTTCCTTTTGAATTTAATATAATGTGTTCTTATATACGTATATTAAACGTATGATAAGAAAATCTAGGCGTATTCCTAGTGTCTAGAATAGTGCCTATATAAAATACGCACAAGATTTTTGTTATTTAAGGTGTAATAAAGTATATTTTAGTATCAATTTATTTATAGTTTCCATGTTTAAAATGGTATCATTTGAAATCATAAATGTATATTAGAAACGCTTTGAAATTAAAAACAAATGAGTTGCGTGAATAAAATTATTAAAGTGTCAAATAAATTGTTAACTCCGAACTGTAACGTTTTAAGAGTTTTATAGTAATTAAATATTCGAATAAATAACACGTTTATTCTGCTTTCACGGGTTGTAGATTTAAAAAAATAATGAAATTTGGGAAACAATCTTCGAAGAAGTAATAAAATCATAATAAGCTTTACAAAACGTTAAGTGGACATCTTTACGCCTCTACGAAGTAAATATCATAAAATGTCTTGAGGTGATAGTTTAATATCTTCCATTAGATTAGTCTCAATACTTGAAGTATTTATTTATTGAAATGAAGCCAGTAAATGATTCAAATAAATAAATACGTTCTAATGTAGTCATAGGTATAAAGGTAACACTAAAGGCAAATAGAAAGGGTTAATTAAAATAACTAGTATACTCTTCGTGTGCTAAACACACTTCTTTTGTTTCATTTCAACGGACAAGTTGAAAAATAATGGCGGCACGAGCTGAGCGTAGGTTGCGCACGCGCACGCGACACTTCCCTCTCACCTCGCGGCCCACGCGCCACCACCGTGCACCGCGCCTAATTTATATCAACAAATTATTTTCTCATCTCTAACTACTGGTTTTATTCGAAGTGATTTATTGTTGACGACCTAATAATAATATATAATTTTTACATATAGGTAATTTTCGCCAACGAATGTTGTGTACAAAAATAATGCGAATGTCACGTGGTGTGACAGTTCTCGGAATAAGGACCATGGTCCATGACCCGGGTGGTCCCTTGCAGTTTTATAGTGGTACTTAATATGTCAATGTATTATAGCCGCCGTTGTTTTCGGACACTTTTATAAAGTATCACAAGGTTTAATTGTGTTTATAAAAGTTAATTCAATTTCATTCGTGTCGTTTTAAACTCGACGTAAAAAATGTTTTCGACCTCTTTAAGTTTATTGTGGACTTGCTCTGGTATGTTTTTAATTTGTAAGGGTTGTAGGTACAATTTCGGTTTTATTTTACTTTTTTTTTTTTTTTTTATTCTAACAAACTATTTAGGGGCTTTTATCACAGATATGTCAGCCCCATCGTACCCTTTACATTACTTTACGTACTTAACATTGACTCACTTGATTAATTGTTATTCGTGGAGGACCAAAATTAAATAGCACAACTTTTTCATAATCGCTGAAGATGGTACAGATAAAATGGATTGTATAATGCCTACATCAAATTTATTTATTTTAAAATCCTTCACGAATATCTCACGTTCTTCTCCATTCCGAGCACACTCCATCAGCAAATGTTGGGGTTTTATTTTACTTACTTAGACATTTCAGTTACCATTTTGACGGTTATTATCTACCTTATAACACGTTGACGGTTCTTTTCACCTAAGACAATAGGTATGTAAGTAATCTAGACAAAAACATGGACAAAACTTTGTCCTTATTACATAAACGTAGTTAAAATTATTATAGGTAAACCCTTCATACGTTTTATACAGAGTAGGTAACTGTTTACCGTCACAATCCTTCGGAGTCCAAGTTCCACTGAAATCAACAGGTAGGTAGCTAAGTATGTACTTATTTTGCTTGACATTCAATTATTGAAATTAATAAATTATTTTTTCAAAACTCAATGTTCGAAATTAGCTTTCAATGTAAGAAGTACTCAAGTTTCAAAAAATAAAATAAGACGTCGTGCTTTGCAGTCTAGACAGCTTATTAATTGAAGTATTCTAAGTATCAAGTATTTTAACATGAAAAAAATAATTTCAAACTAAAAACAAACCTTGAATCCTACTTAACATGATCATATTATAGATCTATTTATATCGTCGAAAAACAATTTTAATTGGGTCTTATTTAAAATAATCCGCTATAAGAATAAATTGCTTCAGGAAAATGTATTAAAATTTTGTCTATAAAAATACGGTTCTTAAGGAACATGAAGGACAAATGAAGCTTTCAATAACATTATCTACCTACTGAAATGCGTCATGTCTGGCTGATGTTTATGAAACAATATCTTTAATTAGCGGAGGATAAATTGACATTTACCTGCCTACATTTAGGTACACATCGGAATACTACAAATACTAAGACCTGTGGGTATAAAACGTATTTTATAAAAATACTAGCGACCCGCCCCGGCTTCGCACGGGTGCAATATGCATGCATTATACATACAAACCTTCCTTAAGAATCACTCTATCTATTAAAAAAAACCGCATCAAAATCCGTTGCGTAGTTTTAAAGATCTAAGCATACATACGGACATACAGCGAAAGCGACTTTGTTTTATACTATGTATTGAAAACAGAGTTTTTACTAATATTAAACTTATTCAAAAAGCTATAATTATGTCCACCTTTATGGGCTCGACCAGAGTGATACCACGCCCTCATAGAAAACCGACGTGTAGTAACGCTTGCGTCGTGTGTGTGATTTACCGGAGGCCCAAAGGTATACAATGGCGGACTTAATGCCTAGTGGCATTCTTTAACAGTCAATGTAAGAGTGATGCAGAGGCACAATAGTAGATGTAAAAGTTAGAACATCGTTGAGTTTGAGGTTTTTGAACATAATTTGATATGAAATTATATACGATTACCCCTCCCCAATCTCCCTAAACCCCGAATCCCCAATAAACCTCAAATTCCTAATTCCCAAAAGGCCGGTAACGCACTTGTAACTCGTCTGGTGTTTCGTGTATCCATGGGCGCCGATTGCATACCATCAAGTGATCCGTCTGCTAGTTTACCGGTATACGCCATAAAAAAAAACTTATAAAACCTATAGTAATTATTGTATTAAACTTTCAAACACCGAGCGGTCACCGGAGACCGCAACCTATTGTTCTGTAATTGTGTCTATAATGACGGTACTCGACGGGTTAAATTACCTTACTAATTCTGGCATACTTACTGAAAAATAAATATTCATAAATGCAATGATATTTACTGTATGATTTAATATTAATATACTTGAAACAAACAAACGTAATTCTGAGAATAGTCCCGTAATGATTCGAATGTTGAATGAATGATTAATCCTGGTTAACCGCAAAATGACACAGGGAGTGATCAGTGCACGTTTTCTTGGAAGATATTTGTACCAACTCTATATTTAGACTTTTAGATTTTAAGGTAGTATTTTGAAGGTCATGACTTAGTTTCGATCGTGATAGTGACGGTGATGTAATGTAGGCACCGAAATTATTTTATTTATTAATATTACTAGCGACCCGCCCCGGCTTCGCACGGGTGCAATATGCATGCATTATACATACAAACCTTCCTTAAGAATCACTCTATCTATTAAAAAAAACCGCATCAAAATCCGTTGCGTAGTTTTAAAGATCTAAGCATACATACGGACATACAGCGAAAGCGACTTTGTTTTATACTATGTATTGATTTATGTAGACATACAACATAAAAGACAACATATATACAAAAATAAGTTACCACCTATTCCTATTGGAATTTCTTCCTTAGCTCCTGTGGCAGGAAAAGTAATGATGAAATAATACACTTAACTGCAAATTATCTTTACGATATGCTCTCTAAATATTTAAAGGGCAAACCTAGAGGGCGCTTTTGCTTATGCATAGATAATACCCACAATTTTAATTTTAAACTATCCAATAAAGCTTTGGATTACTTAGTACTAATTGACCAAACTATCAGAAAGACTGCATTTAGAATTAATAGAGTAAAAAAATGGCATGTGTAATGACTATATGTATGCAAATATGAATAGTCACGCACCTATTTGCTATTAGATAAAATATACGATAAAGGCATCAGTATCTATAAGCCAATCACGAATTAAATCACATAAATATTAAAATTACTTAATGCACGCTTCAGATATGTTATAATTATTATAAACGCTTAGATTTGACTCAAAGATGACATCACCGCTTAGCGAAGGTTCGTTCAAGCTAGCCTAATTAACAATTTCGTTGAAAGGTAAAATGAAACGAAACTGATAGACATCTAATGGTTGAGTTGTCATATCATGGAGTTGAATGTCGCATCTTTTTTGACAGGAAGCTCGTCTATCGTAAATTAATCGACATGGCTCTCCAGAAACACCAAATTACTGAACCGGTTTGGCGTGTGCTCGGCCGCTGACCCGCCGGAAATACTTGCGACGCAACACCCATAGAGAAACTCGCCACGTTTTTCTTAATATTCAAATGAAGAACATTACGTTGCATGATTTCGAACTCATAGAGGGTTTGAAACCGTCACCGTCATCAATGTTCCACATAATATTGAAATCTTTGACTTGCATTCATGATTTTTTTCATAATATTGTATACATACATACATAACCTCAAGCCTGGCCCCCATGGCAGGCAGAGACTATGGAACGCAAATGCTACGATTCTTACATACCTCTTTACATTGTATAATATTGTTTGAAATCGTAGTTACCTTCTACAAAATTATTTTTATCGTAGGTAGAAATGAAAATATCTACACTTATATTTGAAACCCATCAATCAAAGGAGATTTACAATTCTTCGGAATCGTTTTAATACAAAAAAATCAAATAATAAGTCCATAAAGTATTCTTTCCATGTAATTTTCTTTAAGATTTTTTCTGAGTAGCAAACATTTATAAAACCTAAATATAATAAGTACTATTTATTAATAAAATTATTTATTCCATTTACTTTTCCCCGCACAATTACGTACTGAGTAATAAGTACCTATCCCACTTATTTAGAAATATCAATTACTGAGAATTTTTGTAATTACTCGAAAAGCTGGCTGCGATAAAAAAATTATATCGAATACCTTGTTAGTACAAGGAAACCGCATTTCGTTGATACCTGCTAGCTAGGGCACATTGTACGTGCATCATACATTTTTTTAAGGGGGGAAAATCCTCGAATGGCACCTGTGTCTTACTCTTACTGACTAAAAACCATCCCGTTCCTAATCCTGCACTTCGAGCCGGAGCCCCGGCAACTCGTTAAGTCCTCCGCGGCTCCGTATCGGCATCAGAGCTATTG